GTAAATGTTGGGCGTCTGCCCTAATTGATAGCTAGCTCTAACTCTTCCTTACAGCTGGAGAAATGGAGACAAGCAGGAAACTCTTCTCTGGTTACGGAGAGGCATGAGCTCAGAGATGTGACTGGACCTCTGGTTATTGCCACTAGACTAGCTGCTCTCCTCACCAGAAATTGTTTATTTTCAGTCAGATATAGATGGCTAAACTTTCCTCAGAAGACTTGTCCCTCACTTTCTTTGTCTCATAGAACTATTTGTGAGGATTAGAGTAAAAGTCTATAACTCTGCAGTTCCCTGGAGAAAGGCGCTGTAAAGACACAAGATATTATAGTATAATCCTTAGAATACACTAATGCTAATGGCCAGGGAGCAGAGACCCGGAGTCGTGAGTTCTGCTTGGCTTGCTCAAATGCCAGGTTTAGCGTCAAAGCAGTCCATGATTGATAGATCAGTGGTAGCTAAAAGATGATGAGCTTTTGTAAATGGGTGACTAGCTCCTAAAGAAAGCCACATATTTTACCTGATAACACCCAAGTAAAATAGTTACTTCAGCTTTTAGAAATGTTGCCATCAATAACTTGAGGAGTTTTCCGTCTCGGAATTTGGTGCTATAATTTCTTTTCATCTATCACTGCTAAATCTCCTATTTACTGAAAACACCTTCCAAAGTTCTCTAGAGGTTAACCCTTAACCCAGTATCCAGGCAGTCTATAACTGGCATCTTTTTTGCTCCAGAATCACATTTCACAACAGATTTCACACCAGACAGATGACTCCTGTAAAAAATCTTCAGAAGGCAGGAGGGCCTTTTGCATCCTATACAGCTACACCCAGATAGCAAGGGAGCTGCTCCACTCCAGCCACCACCCCTGGAACTCATCTCCACTCCTACCCAATGGTGGTATGTGCTGTTCAATTAACAGTCTCCTTTAAATTTACTATCTTCTTGGTTTCTCAGTTTGCTGGCTTCTTGAAGATTTTCCATTTAGTGAATGAGCAAATGATCTAGAATTATGAAGAAATATGTCCTGTGAAATATTGTCCTTGCTTCATCTAGATAGAAATAGCCAGGCTTTCTGTTCTCTGTCCCACTCCCTCAACAAAGGTAGAAGAGCACTAAGAAAACTCAAAGTTCCAGAGACTGTATATGTCCTGTGTGTATATAGGTATTTAGGCAAACAGTTGCCCCAGGAATTGTTATCGGTAAACTGAATTTACTTAAATGAATAGACTTTAGATGCTATCATATCACAGAGAAGCAGAATCAGAGGAGGGCCTCTGATCCTGTGTTGTCACTAATTCTGTCATCTTGACACTCAGCTCCCTGCCTATAAAAATAAGAGCTTGGGGAGTTAGGTAGATCAGTGGTTCCTAACCTGAGTGTAGCACTATTTTAATATTTCAAAAAGCCTAAGTAAAATAATAGTTCGTAAAAAAAAAAATCTATGTCAGTGGTACATAGGCTAAACAAAATAGAAAATTCATTTTGCTTTTGATTGGAATACTATCAGCCCAGTATGGCAACTGTGGTTTTCTTTTGTGTTTTTTAGAAGTTTTATAGTTTTACATTTTACATTTACGTCCTCAGTGCATTTCTTTTTTTTTTTTTTTTTTTTTTTTTCTTTTTACTGTTGTGGCCTCTCCCGTTGTGGAGCACAGGCTCTGGACGCGCAGGCTCAGCAGCCATGGCTCACGGGCCCAGGCGCTCCGCGGCATGTGGGATCTTCCCGGACCGGGGCACGAATCCATGTCCCCTGCATCGGCAGGCGGACTCTCAACCACTGCGCCACCAGGGAAGCCCCTCAGTGCATTTTGAGTTAATTTTTGGTACAAGATGTGAGGTTTAAGTCAAGGTTTATGCTTTTGCCTGTAGATATCCAATGACTGCAGCACTAATCATTAAAAACATTAATGATTTGTTTGCATCTTTGTCACAAATCAATTGCTCATATTCATGTAGATATAATTCTGGTTTTCCTATTATGTTCCATTGGACTGTGTGTCTTTTCCTTCACCAGTACCACACTGTCTTAGTTACTGTTGCTATACAGTTGACCCTTGAACAATGTGGGTGTTAGAGGTGCCAACCTTCACACAGTCTAAAATCCACGTACAACTTTACAGCTGACCCTTAATATCCACGGTTCTGCACCTACATGGATTCAACCAACCGTGCATCATGTGGTACTGTAGTATGTACTGTTTGTTGAAAAAAAAATCCACGTATAAGTGGACTTTATAAGTGCAGTTCAAACGCATGTTGTTCAAGGGTCAACTGTATAGTAAACCTTAACATTGGGGAAGAGTGATTTCTTCCACTCTATTCTTCTTTGTTTAAAGTTGTTTTGGCTATTTCAAGTCCTTTCTATTCATTTTAGAATAAACTTGTATATTATACAAAACACCTTACTAAGATTTAATAAAAATTGTGTTAAGCCTATAGAACAATTTAGGGAGAATTGTCATCCTTACTGTGTTGAACCTTGTAATCCATGAACGTGGTATGTTTCTCCAAGTATTTAGATCGTCTTTGATCATCATTTTGTAATTCTCATCATGAAGATTCTATACATGTTTTATTAAGTTTATACCTAAGACTTCAATTTTCTTTGGAGCAATTATAAATGGTTTGTATTTTTGATTTGAGTTTCCGCTTTTTTGTTGCCAGAGTAGAGTAGTGCAGTTAATTTTGATGTTTGATCTGCATTCTGTGAGCTTGTTGAACTCACAGTTCCAGGACGTTTTTTGGTAGATCCCTAGGAATTTTCTGCATAGCCAATCATGTCATCTGTGAATAGAGACAGTAACTCAGCCTGATGAGTTTTATTTCTTTTTTTCCAATATGTATGTTTTTTTCTTTTTCTTCCCTTATTTGTAGTGACTAAAAATTCCAGTAATATCTTGAATAAGAGTGGTGAAAGCATATACCTTGTCTTGTTCCTCCTCTTAGAGGGGAAGAATTCAGCCTTTGATGTATGAATGATGTTAGCTATAGGTTTTTGCATAGATGCTGTTTATGAGATTAAGGAAGTCTCCCCTAAAGTGTGCTAAGCATTTTTATAATGAATGGATTTTGAATTTTGTCAAATGCTTCTTCTGAGTCAATTGATATGATCATATGACTTTTCTTCTTTGTCCTGTTAATGTGGTTGATTACAATGGTTGATTTTTGGATATCAAACTTCCCTTGAATACTCCAATAGAATAAGTCCCACTTGGCTGTGGTATACTATTCTTTTTACTTACTGTTGGATTTGATTTCCTAAAATTTTATTGAGGATTTCTGCTCTGCTTTAAAATAACTTTTGTTTAATTTCTTAACCTATTTTCCTGTGTAGCTTAAAGATTGGCAAATGCCTGAAGGTGGAAATCTCCCGTGTGTTGAGCTCATGTTAGATTAGTTATCTATAGTTATCTGTAACCACAAACACTTTAGCTGGAAAAATCACACAAAAATGTAATCTTAACTGTTTCTTTGGAGAATATAAACAGAAAATTATATAATTGGAAAGATAAGGCAATACCTATAGAAACATCCCAGCTATAACTTTTCCTATTTATTTATAGGCAGAGTTTGAAGATTCAAATTTGAATCCATGTTGCATGTGAGACCATGACATGTCCACAAATGGTAGCCCATAAAAGCGACTTGTACGTGAATTCATGTATAAAGAGTTTGGATTCCATGCAGAGCACTATTCTAAGATTACCAAGTGTCAAGCTTCTTTCATGATTTCCTTTATTATGTAGCAGATGGAACTTCGCATAGCTATTGGAATGAAGATATGTACCACATGTTTTTCTTCGACCAAATAAACCCATGTAAACACATGGCATGATTGGGACCTCAGAGGATAATCAGATTAATTATTTCTTCAGTGTATCTTGGGGGGAAAGTGCTATAGGAGACCCTTGATCTAAGCCATCTCACATGAGTAGGCTATTGATGCAATCTTTGCAGTCACTTTTAAGTGAAGGAGTAGAGGCCCAGAAAAAAAGGTCACATTTTATAATCTCCAATTTATCGTGTTGGCTTTGCCTTCGTTGCTTATAATTCTAGGTCATAGGATTTAATGAGCCTCTGTGTATGAATAGGAATTCATTTATGCAAACAAAATATCTCTTTAGGGGCTGGATGATTTACTAGGCAATTATCCTATTTAGCCCAAGAAAATATAGGTTTTTGGGTGAATTGCTGGTCATTAGAAGAATCGTCTTACTGATTTAGAATTTATGGGAACATTTTGTCTGTAGGAGATCTGATAAAAAAGAAACCATATTTTTGCTTTTTATGCAGCTGGACCTGTAACCACTCAAAGACGTAGACTTTTCAATGATATATGTTTCATTGATTTGAGTAATATTCTATTTGTCCTCTGAAAAGCACTGCATCATCCCTAAGCAGAACAGGAAGAATAGCTTTGGCTGCACTCCATTTTCCAGGATAATTTTCTTCAAAGAAGACTGATTTCAGATGACTTTGAAAGCTCTTTTCAAAGTGCTTCCTGGATATTCTCTTTAATGATGGTGGAAATGCTGTTTAGATTATGTCTGACACTTTTGTACACTATTCACAATGCTTCTACCATTAAAAAAATGTGTTCCAGGCTTATGTTCTTGAGATTCAATAAGTTTATTACATTTTTTAATAGCACAAACAGATTTTCTTTGCTATTTAATAACAATCAGAAGAAGACAATTAGTCCAGAGACAAAACAACAACCATGGATAAATTCAAGTTTTTCCATGATGAATCAACGCCTGAATTCCCATTTACGTTTTTCTGCCTACCATCTTCTCCTGTGGACTGCAAAATGATGAAGTAAAAGCTTTCCAGTTTACCCGTGGTGAAAACCATTGTCACTCGGGAGAGCCTCCTTATGATAGGAACACCTGAGCTCTCTGTAGATTTCGCTCTCTTCATAAATTCTTGATGGAGTTATTCCTGGTATCTCGCAGTGAGATTATCATTCTTACCAATGAAACTTTCTTCTTGTTTCCAGGTTGAGTGGTCTTTTAGAGACTTGCATTTATAAAGAGACCTCCATGAAGAGAATCTTATCGATGTGTTCACCTTGCTTTCTTAAGAACCCAAAGGTATTTCTATTGTTTTTTAAAAGTCTTGAGGTGTTTGATTATAAATAGCTGTTCGATTGCAAGCATGATGCTCTGTGCAGTATTGGTTGATTCTTTTATTTCGATGACAAGGGCTGTCACCAACAGATAATAACTTATAGCACAGACATTATTTTAAGTGCTAACGAGCATATAAGTACATTGCTGTTCTCATGCATTATAATCAGGACAATGCAGGTATTTTGGGTAAGCGTGCTCACATTCATCCATGCATTAGAAATTAAGGGATACTGATTACTCACCAGTCTCCCTTCCGGGCTCCATTCAAATGATAAATAGCAACAGGAATATAATCAAAGATTAAAGTCATAGAATTAGATTTATTTATGGAGTAGACAACTTCCCCAGAACTCTCCAAGTGAGGAGCTTCCTGGTAAAGCTGAACTGTAGCATGAAGTTACTCCTTGTTCTAAATCTAAGGGAGAGCTGGATTTTCTTATCTAACACTTATCTAGCTAACTGAAAGGACAATATGGCCTGTTCCCCAAAAATCTAATTGTTTATAGAACTAGAAATAACTACCTTTCCTTTTATAATGCTGTGATCTCATCCATAGAGTGACACAGGCCAGCAAAGGTCAGACTTTCCTTGGTCTCACCAGTTAGATTAATTCAGAGGAGTGAGTGAGCAGGGGATAGGGGGATTGGAAACATTAATTCCACTTCGCCGCTCCTCAACTGTAAGTGAAGAGGAAGCTACTTCCCCTTAGCGGAATCAGGAGGAGTGCAGTGGCCGTGAAAATGTGCCCCTCAGGTCTCCTACCGCAGGGCGTCTAGTTGAACAGCCCTTCCTTATGCTCTGCTTTGAAATTCATTATTATATTTGTGCCTGGGTCTCACTTTCGGAAGGCTGTTCCTATCCAGTACTGAATGGGACAGGGATGCCCAGGCAGACCAACTTTGGGGAGTTAAAAGTCTTCTTGGACAGGTGGTTTTGGCTCAGACGGACTCCATGCTAGCTTTACTGAACTTTATTAGAAATGCACTGCAGTGTAAGACCTGTCTTCCTCCCCCCCTTTTTTTCTTCCTCCTTCCTTTCTTCCTTCCCTTTCTCCTACACAGGGGTCAGCATTGCAGTTTGATGCTCTCCCAGCCTCCTCCAGCTTCCCTCCTCCATTGCCCCTCACTGGCATTTTCCTAGTACACCCTTTTCATCTGTAATCCTATCTTGTTGTCTGCTTCTCAGAGGGCTGGGAAAAATTCAAGGAGCAAAGTCATAGGCTATCCATCAACACCAAACATAGACACATATAAAATAATTGCAAGAAGTGCAATACTGTGTGAATTTGCACGCGTCAAAAGCTATTCCTCAGGACTAAGAGAAAAACTGGATCTTCTGCTGTGTTAACCCATCATATCATATTTGCCAGGTAGGCAAAGCAAGAGAAATAAACCTAGGGGAAGGGGGAGGAAGGGGATGCAGGTTTGGTTAGAAAGAAAGAAAACTGGCATCAAACTGTTTCCCTGCCGTGGAAAGGGGCACAGACTCAAGAATGGTCAGTGCCTGCAATTTTCTTTCAGTTTCAAATGTCCGTAGGAGTGCACTTCTTCCTCATCACCCTGAAGAGCTGACGGCAGCCTGGAGCTCATAACTCGCAGGGCACCATCCTAGGATTCAGAGAGCAGAACCCCACTGAAAAGCCATTTAGTAATGCAAGGTCGCAGGTAATTTACAGCCCAGACAGTCAGCTTGTTTTGAAGCCCTGACCTTTGGTAGACCTCCCCCTCTGCATGCTTTTTCTGTAAATAAAGATCACACAGCACCTTTTCTCATCATATACAGATAGCCAGTGCTATTAAGCTACATGGCAGAGTCTCTCCTTTTATCATTTTGGTGGATGACCCTATAAAAAGACATTAAACCTAATAAAAAATAATGCATCTAAGCACTGTATCCTGAACATCTGAATGAATATATTTCCTCTGTGGCTTCTTCATCTTAAGTTATGATAGCAGGAGCTTGACTGGTTATTAACCTTATAGTCTTTCACTGAGGGTCTTTGGTAGAGTTATCTGTACTCAGAAAAGGAATGGCCAAAGGAGAGCAGAATAATTTGCTGGCTTGGTAGCTCAGAGCATGTGTTTCATATTTAACACAGATAAATCTGTAGGCTGGGACACCAGAAGATACCTACTTCTAAACAAAACTAGGGTTAATGAAATAGCACAGTGGATAAACAGGTCATATTCCAAAAATGTTTGCTGTGAGTCATCCTTAGTGAAATATGGGCCACTGTCTCTTGCTTCCTTAAAATTCAGTGTTTCAGAGAGTAAACTGTGTCTGTGGGATGTGTGCTAAGTGTGTGTATTCTGCTCAAACTTTGATTTTCTTGATTCTCCTACACTTAATAGGTTAGGTGGGTTGGATATAAAGACTGAACAGCATTATACAGTGTACTTATAGAAAGTGATGGTAAGAATAACTCGCAGAAGAAAGTATCTTTGAGAGTTTTATTTCTAAACAGTCTTCCAAAATTACTGGTTTGGGAGATCAGAGGTGCAGAAGAGATTGTAGGGTGGCTGGAACCCGAGCCATGGGCAAAGTGTCTACTTTGATATGTTGTTTTCTCTCCTTGTCTCTTCTTCCTTCTATCATTTTTACTCTAAATTTGATCTCAAGGAGCACGAAGCCTAGATTTTGTGCTGTTCAAAAATTATTTTGATTCTAAGAAAATATATCTAGCTCAAATAGGAAATGATGCCTCATTTTCACCACACAGACTTAATCCAGCCTCTTACACCTTTTACAGAGGAACCACAAGATGAAGCCTTTAAATAGTACAAAAAACACCCTTCCCACAAATCTCTGCCCGCTCCCATGGGGGAATTCTGCTTGCTCTTCCTGACATTTCTGATCTCATGTTTTTATCCCCCTGAAGAGACTTGGTAGGTGGGTCTCAGCCTTCCTGCTTTTCTACCCTCAAAGACACTGCGTCATGGGGATGGGGTGTAGTAATCTGAAAAACAAGCAAGGCTTTCAGAACTGATTAAACATGCATGTAAAAAACTCTCTATATTAAGTCATTGAACAGGAAAATTAAATAGGACAAGTGAGCAGGTGGTAAATGAACGAAGACTGATGTGAAAAGTGATGTTTACATAAATAGCAGCCTAACTAATCCTTTGAAATATGAACGTAAAGACTTCAAGATGTCTAAAACCTTGGATATCCCAAGTTCCAGGCATTTCAAGGGCTTCAGCATCTTTTAAACTTTCCCTCTCAGCACCCTTTAAAGCCGGGAAGAAAAGAACAATTTTCCTTCACAAGGTGAGATTTAAAACTACCCTTAGATCTCTCTCAGAATTGGAATGCATGTTCTCCTTGACCCAGCACAGGAACTGTAACTCTCCAAAAATAACAAGTTGTTTTCTTGCAACTCATAGAACAAAACTCAGTCACACCAGAAAGTCTCTGAAAAGAATGACTTCAGAGGGTGATTTTGAAAGTGAACAGGAACTTACCTGAGGGTAGAAAAAGGGATGGATCTGGCTTAACTACATAAAACAAATGTGTGTGTGTGTCCCTCTCTTCTCACATCCCTTTCTAAGCCACGTTTTTTTTCAATTTTCAACATTCTAATCAGATATGTTACATGTTAATTGCAAACCTTCTACTTGTGATGTGAATGAAGTTTTTGTGCTTTGATATAATAGATGCTTGATAAAGAGATTGACTTGGAACCTAAAATTATTGAAAGAATGGCATCAGAATCAGAAGCTAGATATCTTGGCACTGTCATTATTTTAAATTCCATATTTCGATGAAACGATTCAGAAACCAACCTGTTTTTGTTGTTGTTGTTTATTACTTTTTTTTTTGGGGGGGGGGCAGGCCGGGGGAGGGATGGGATTTGTGGTAAAGAAAGGTAAATATCTGGACTGTCAAGTCCAGAATGTATGCTAGGCACTGGGGAGTTAAGCAAAGAGTAAACTAGTTCTTCACCAACTGTTTCCCTTTTCTTCTTGGCACGTAGACTACATTTCCCAAATACATATCCCTGCAATTAGTGACAACCAAGTGACTAGTTCTGGCTGATGGGATGTGGGTGGAAATCACGTAGGCCACCTCCAGGCCTGGCCTATATATTCCCTAAAGATCTTCCTTATGTGATCCCTTCCCTCATCTGCTAGCAGAATACAAAAGATCCAGTGAAAGACTCTGGGCGCTAAGGAATAGCAGAGCCACTAGACCAAAGGAACCTGAGTTTCTAGATCACAATGTGCAGCAGAGCCCCTGCTAACCTAGAAGGACTCTGATGTGAGAAAGAAGTAAACCTGTGTCGTGCTAGGCTATGATTCTAAAGTTTCTTTGTTACGGCAATGAATCTTCCTGACCAATACAGAAAACAGTCCAGGGGTATGTGGAGTGGGTGTATCAGAGGGTATGGTAGGCAGGATTCCAGGGTGGCCCCCATGACCTCTGCCTCCTGGTGTTACTCCTGTGACTATGCTATGTTCCATGGAAAAAGGGATTTCCCCGATGCAATTACAGTGACCCATCAGTTGGCAAAGAGTTTAATTATTTGGGTGGGCCTGACCTAATCAAAAGAACCCTTTAAAAGCAGAGAATTTTCTCTAGCTGGTAGCAGAAAAGGGAGTGCAAGAGATGTGAAGTGTGAAAGGGGTTTGACACTGAAATTATGTGGCAAAGATCTGAGAGGGGCTTGTAGGAGCTGAGAGTGGTACCCGGCCAACAGCTGGCAAGATAATGGAACCTGTCCTAGAGCCACAAGAAAATTAATTCTGCCAGGAGTCTGAGGGAGCGTGGAAGTAGGTTTTTCCTTAATTGAGCCTCTAAATGATGTTGACTAAAAAAATATTCACAGCTTAAAACTTGAGTGTTATGTTTTATTCGGCGGGAATTTTTAGGACTTCAAGCCTGGGAGGCAGCATCTCAAGTAACCCTGAGAGGACTGCTCCTAGGAGGCGAGGGGGGAGCCAGGTTATATAGAAGTTTTGTAA